ATGTGGCTGGGACCAGCTTGCTAGGGAGGCAGGCACAGAGCATTTGGTGAGCTAAGCACAAACTATCGCAAAGGTTCTCCAGGAAGTAGGCTTCGGGCCATTGCACCTAGGAAGCCTAGGGGTGGTGTGTCCCGTATGTGCCCCAAGTCAGAAAAGCACATTTGGATGCACTGGGTATTTGTGGCAAGCCAAAGAAACTCCAAGAAAAAAGAACAAAAGGAGAAGAGTTAGCACCCAACCAGCAAGGACTCTATTCCTCAACAGTGAGAATGAAGAGATTTTCACAAATCCTCACTGAGAAGGGCATTAGGATGGAAAAGCCAACTTCACTGAGTGGTTCTACAGTGAATGTAGTCTCCTGGTTAATGAATAATAAAATCCACATACAGTAATTCTCTCATTGCCCAAAGTAAATTTAATCCCCAGACAAATCCTTCTATGGTCTTCAAAAAATCCTGCTTTAAAAATTGCCTCCAGGTATTCACAGAAATGTGAATGGACTCTATATTTGACTATGAGTGTGAAGACTGGTGTCCTGAGTGGGTAACACCCAAGCAGCCTGCCCTCTCCACCCTCTGGAGCATGAATTCATCTATGAAAGCAACACAAGCAACGCAAAGATTCCACCTTATTCAACCACTGAAGGGTGGTGGGAGTTTTCTTGCCTTTAGTGAAAGTAATAAAATCAAGATACCAAGTCCATTATATATTTTTGTTTTTATTTACACTTCCAGTTTCTCACACCAGAGAAACAATGTGGTATCTACACATGTGCTCTATTTCACTTAAAGAGTATGATCTCAAGGTGTATCCATCTAGCTAGAAATGTCTTTTTTTTTTTTTTTTAAGCTAGAAATGTCTTAAGTAAAATGTTCAAATGGGAAGGGGAACGAGGAATGGGAGGAGGAAAGGCAAAAGGAAGGGAAAAGGAAAAAATGACAAAGAAGGAAAACTGGAGAGAAAGCTTTTGCAAATAAGGAGGGGACGAGGGGGTGAAGGGAGGGTAGATTAATGGGAAAAATAATTAAGATATATCACATACAGGTACAAATTCCCTATGATGAATGTGACCATTATGTATATCTAAAAATGTACCAATACACTTAATTAATTTAAGAAACAATCAGGATACAAGTCTCCCAAAAAGCCCTAGCACGTACCTCCACAGCCTGTTTGGTTTACGGCCAATTAATCTTTAGGACCAGATGCAAGACAATGAATTATTAGTATTTATTAAGTTGTATATAGACTTCCCCTGACAAATATTCTAGCCATAGGTGAACTGGTGTGGATTAATAAGTGAATGATTCCAAATTCCCTCCATGTTCCACAAATCCTTAGTCATTCTTATTCTGCTATACACTTCAAAAAATTTTATTACAGTTCTCTTATAACAAATGATAGGTCTATTTATCATGACTACTGCTGGTTTTGTCTGTCTCTATTGTGAGAATTTATATCTACACAAGGATAAATATCTACATATATTCTGTTCAGTAATGTATCTCAAGCACCCAACAAAGTGCATCCTACAGAGTAACTTCTCAACACATACTTATTAAAATGGTGAATGAAAAGTTCTGAATGCTGTTTTTCATTCTCTCGGCATTGGATCTAGTTAATTGCATTCACTTTGACCTAAACCCTGTGGATTAACAAAGAGAACCCCACCTGTAAGACAAATGCAAATAGGTTAGGATAGATACACACTACTTTCTCTTAGTTCAATGAGAAGAAAGGTTTGTACTAATATTGTTTAGACAAGATATGTCTACATCTTGTCCTCTGAATAACTACTACGAAGAAAATAACATGCAATGCATTAATTATTGTAACTGTCCTACTAACCTGTTTTGAAACTGTTTTATTGCAATTTTGTCTTCTTTCTCATTAAAATAAATTTGAAAAAAAAAAAAAAAAAGAAATCCTCCCTTAGGTCTTTATTAGATTCCTGGAATAACATCATAGTCCTTTGAGCTTCTGTTTTCGGTTGCTCCCTGTTCGCCATCTTTCCTTATCTCCTGGGTCCACGCTGTCCTAGCGGCACGTGTCACGTAAGATCCCTATGAGTGTGACGTCATCACGCCCACCTGTTACTTCCTATCTACAGCAGGGACAGCCTTCCATTAGCATCTGCTTTGCCAATTCAAATTGAGAGCAGAGGCTTTCTCCGTGGCTGTGTCAGCAAGGGTTGTGGCGTCGCCATTTTGGAATGACTCTGTACTACAGAATGGCTCAGCTGTCCCAGAGCAGACCACGATGGCACCTATCCCAGTCTACCACTTCTGCAGCCCAGAAGCTCAGAGATTTAAGTCAGCTAACTTCTTCCTGATGTCCAAATTTTAATTCATTCTTCTTCAATATCTTCCGTATAAAAGTTTTATAACTCTCATCCTCAAAAAATATTTTATCCTGTGTCTCTTCCACCACTCAGTATTTCATAATGATTCCTATTGTCCAGACATGTCTTTAATATAAATTCTAGAGTGGCCCATTACTGAACCCCACACCCTCAGAGATTGAATCATTGATGTTTCCCGCACCCACACTGCACCCACTTGCTCCTCACGGGATCTGCCTGTTGCCCTGGATGCCTGGGTCACCTCTGTCCACGGCTTCTGGGTGATGTTTCATGAGGTACCTAAAAACCTCAACCTCCTTTTCCTTACCAAACGCTTCCCTAAGCCCCGAGAAACGCAGCTCTGCCACTCACCAGACCACATACACCACACCTGTACTCTGCCCCCTTCTTAGGGTCCCCACGCTCATCATACATTATTTGTACATGTTCCTGTATACAAATATAGAGCTGTGACACAACCAGGCCTGAACACTACGTAAGACCCTTCTGTGGTCCTTAGCAACGATAGGTTCAGGTTTAGCACGCAGAGGGAAACAGTCCCGGCTCATTCCCTTCTGTGAAGAGTCTTGCAAACAAACGCAGTTATGCAGCTCAAAGGGCTGTGAGCTGAAAGCGAGCGGGTTGGCAATGGCCCGGCTTCAAGGCCAGGTGTCTGCAACTATAAAGTTGTGAATTAGAACAGGCGTGCATCCATCAGGCTCCGATTCCTGGAAGCGCTCAGCAAAGGCCAGCGCCCAAGGAACCATGGGAAATACCTCGCTACAAATAACTGGAGCTCAGGTGTCTAAAAAAGCTTCAGAGTTTAAAATGTTTGCTCCTTTTCTCAAATCCATCTAAACTCTTTTCAAATCTGCCAGAGGTACTTAGCCTCCTCACACGCTTAAGCACAGAGCTGCTTTGCTGCTGTCAATGCGGGCAGCCGTGGAGTCAGGGATGACAAGGGCGAGGCTGGCCATAATTTTAGAACCCAAAAAGTGCAAGTGCTTTGTGGCTATTCACCTCACAAAGAACTCTCTAAATCTTACCTAAACTGCCGTCATCTCCGGGAAGACTCTCTTTCCAGCCTTACCTAGAAAACATTACAGGTTGGGCCCTTAAAGAGCCATTCAGAACTGCCCACCGCCTACAGTCTCCGAGCCATGATTCATGGCCCAGGGGGGTTATGCAAGCGAGTTCCTTAGGGGGACTCTGAGTCTAATGGACAACCCTATACTTCATTTCATTTCAGTGATCCAGATTCAAGAGGAAAGTATACACAGATGGCAACAGGAAGACACAAAGTCACATTTAACCTAGTCTAGAGGACTTGATAAAGGCTTTCTGGAAGAAGTGATATGCAAACCAGACCTTTACCTTGCAGTAGGAGTTCACTAGGTGAAAGAAGATAGCAGGCACAGGGAGAACATGTATATGGTATTACATTTGTAGTAGGAGAAGATAAAAAGAAGTGAAACAAGACCTATGTCTTTAAGAATTTACACAAAATTTCCCTAGAATGTGCAGTATTATCAGCAGATGATCTAAGAATAAATAAAGACGAAAACAGTTCAGAGAAAAGCTGGCAGAGTTCTGAGGCAGAAGGGAGGGGAGAAAAGAGGTAAGCATGTGTCAGTTAGTGAGGCATGCTAAATGGATCTTGAAGTAACATTTGTTGATGTTGTTGTTATTATTATTGGTACCAGGCATGAAACTCAGGCGCTTGTGCTTGCGAGGCAGGTGCTTATGCAGCCGAGCTGTCTCCCCAGCTCCCTGAAGTAACATTTGGGATAGCATAAGCCAGGGGTCCAAGACAGGCAGGACATGCACAGAGCGCCGTCAGATGAAGTTTGATGTCCATAGGAGGATGATGAGGAAGCAGGTTTAAATGGCAAGTCAGCGCAGCATGTAGGTAACGGCATGGCACAAAGGTCCCTAGACCCTGTCATGTGGACAGTGGTGAAGCATTTGTTTTTCAACAGTGCAGTAAGAACATCTCTGCACCCCACTGACTACAAATGGCCATCAGAACTGAAATCCTATTCAATCATAAAAGTGATCCTGACTCATTCGTCCCAAAGGGTTGAACACAGGCTGGTTTCCAGGACACTGCCCCAAAGTTCAGGTTGTGCTACAGAAGCGTAACTCAAGTCAGAGCTGCTTCATGTTCTGTAAGACAACCACATGGGTGGTGCTAATGAAATGGTAACGCATAGCGTGCATAGAACGTAGCTGGTGTTTACGCAGTTACGTAGCAGTGCCACGTTCTGCACATGGTCCAGGTACACCTTGCAGATGTCTGTGGGCCACACTGGGCTCTCAGTTGGTGGTGGTGCAATCATGGGGACCTTGAAGGAGGATTCGAGTGCCAGGTCCTTGGGCAAGAGGAACGGATAGGTCAGTGCTGATCCCCCGAGTTACTTCTCACATGAGGGATAATCGATGTCCCCACCACACACTTAGCTTCTCTCTACCTGTGCCCAGTTTCCTCTCTGCTTCCCCACCATGTGTGACAAAGCCCATAGGAGAAGGTGACCGCCCACCCATATGATGACTCCATACTCGTGAATGTCAACACAGGTGAGCTGAGAAAACTCTTTCCTTTACCAAGTACCCAGGCACTTCTTGTGTTTCTGTCATTTGTGGAGATCCTATGTGTCAGGGACTCCGTGGGAGACTCCTGTAAAGGCAACCTGGGAGCCTGAAGTTAGATTCTTATCATGAGCGTTGTATCTACTTGGGACAGAGAAAGATTGGAGATGGAGATTCTGAAAGGGTTGCCAAGGAGCTCCTACCCACAGGCCGAGTCTCCGCACGGAGCATGGTGGAAGCCAGGGACGATTTCTCAAATGGGGCTTTTGTTCCTCAGGAGCTTACAACTCACATGGGAATATAAAATTAATAGATGCATGAAGTGACTTTTGACCAACACCACCTGAGGTTGGAGAGTGGCTCACACTGCCATACCTACCAGAGGTAAGGAAAGGCTTCACCCACGTTATCTCCCTCACTATCTGCGAGGGTCAATTCTTTGTGATGCTCTCCTCAAGCCGCTGTGGCTCCTGAGGCCTGTGAGGCTTCCTGCTCCCTTCCTCCTTCCCACACAAACCCAAGGCTCTGCTCTGGGCTTTGGCTACTGCCTCATAGACATAGTAGATTCATAAAGATCTAATATTAGTCTGACCGTTCTAGTTAGCATCAGACTTTCTTTATGGTATTTGTGGGACGTAAAGATGAACCTTACAGACAAGAACTTTAAACTCAGCGATTGCCCCTTTGTGACACTTCCAACCAGTTAATTGTCTGTTTGCCTTCCTGTAATTACTTTAATTACATGCCATTAGTGACCACCAATAAATGCAAGTGTGTCTGATTTTCATAAACTCCATTTCCCCGACCCATCTGCAGATCACCGCCAAAGTCTTCGCATGTAGTCAAAATAAAAAGTGCGGCGAAGAAACACATTTGTGTTTAACCTTTGGGGCTGGTGTCAAAAATAGAAGATATTTCATGAATGAGGTGATTGCTTCTCCCACTGCTGACAGTAACCAGCATTTTCTCTTTATGGTGGCTACATATGCACGTTATGTGCTCATTTTATAAGACAGCAAAAGTTAAAAGGGGTTGAGAAATAAAAGCTGCCTAATTGCTGCTATTATCTCAGCTCAAGGAGAGGATTGCTGGGTGATGTTATGGGGATCGAAAAACCATTGAAGACTTTATTGATGGAGCACTTTTACTCTAACTTCATGCCACACAAAATGAAGGTCATAATTTCAGTTTTTATGAGTGTCTGCTTAGGCATTTACATGGAAAGAGCTGAAGTGGGAAGAGATGAAGCCAACAGTCCAGCTACCACACTTATCTGGATTGTGTTCCAGTATCTGGTGCAGAACCGTTCATCCAGCACGACCTTATACCCAGCTTTCCCAACAAAGTCCTCTGGAAACTTGGGAGAGGGCACTGTGTAAAGAATGGCCCGTTACACGCTCTTCACTGTGTCCCCTCAACCAAAAGAACTGATTAATAATTAAATGATTGAACAAATAAAAAAGAAAAAAATTTCAGAAATGTAAAGCAATCAACTCTCATGGCTCTTACCTAGTTCGTTCTATCTATCTATCTATCTATCTATCTATCTATCTATCTATCTGTCTATCATCTATCTAACTATCTTATACAATACACCCACTTATAAAATTTTTAAATATGATGCATGATCCAAATATACTAGAAAAGTTTAAATGAAAAAAAAGTTACAGTAAACCATCCTCCTAATGCTACTTTGAACGTACTTATCCCAGTGGTCTTTGCGCCTTCTGAAGCACCTCTGGAAGCCCTCTTTCCTGAGCGTCATTATGAATGAAGCTTGCAGTGCATGCTGCTGCTGCCGAGTGCCACCCCACGCAAGGGCAGGTTCCTGAGCCCGCCACAGCCAGTCCTCAGGCCTTATTCACCAGATCTGACACTGTGTGACTTCTGGCTCATGTCCAAAGTGAAAGTGACCAGGAAAGGCAAGTGCTTTGAACTGGCTGAGGCCATCAAGGCAGCCATGCCAGAACCACTAGGGATTCTCACAAGAAAAGAGGACTTTCGGGACTGCTCAGAAAATGGCAAGACATTGAGTAACAAATCAAGGGAGGGTATTTTGAGGGGGGATTAATGACAATGTGTCTTTTCCTGTTATACAGTTTTTAAGATTTCTTTCTTTCTTTTCTTTTTTGTATAGTTAGTACAGGCTCTACGGGGTCTCACTATGTAGATCAGACTCAGAATGATCCTCCTATTTTCAGCCTCCTGAGCACTGGGATTACAGGCCTGTGCCATGACACTCCATCTCAGTTGCCAGCTCAGCATGCCCCAGGGGTGGGTACAGCACAGTATGCCCCACGGGTGGGTACAGCACAGTATGCCCCACGGGTGGGACTGGCACAGCACACTGGTGATCAAACTGCTGAGCTATCTGGCTGGCCCAGTTTAAAAAAAAAAATTAAGCATTCACTGCATTTTCTGATCATGACTTGTACACTAAGTTTATTTTCTAATGGTAGCAATGCATTTTCCTTTAAATATAAAATGCTTTTAACTCTGACCTACTAGAATTGGTGGCATGAGGTTCTTCCCTGTGGTAAAAACACGGGTCTTTCCTGGTCACCGGTGAGCACTCCCTGCTATGGATTAGGGCCAGGTGGGTGCCCGGAGTGCGTTTCATGCATCCAGTGGAATCGTCCCACCAGGGAAACCCAGGAGGAGGGGACAGCGCCACCAGGCTACTGCTTGCACCCTGTGCCTGCGCTAGGAGCTCAGCCTTGAGACGTGACTTCCAGGCAGCTTTGGGTTCAAGTTCATGAGGAATGTCAAAGCGCTCATTATAAAGAAGGAAAACCAAAAACTAGTGACATGTAAAGGATGTACTTCCCCGGAATCTTGGAAATACACAGTCTTCAATCTACTTCATAAGTTTTGGTTCAAACAATGAATACTTTAGTGAAATAACTTTCATGGTATGAAATGCCAGTGAACCGATTCATCCACATTGTCCTCACCTCATTAATATTTAATTATATGGCATGACCCTTCCCCACAACCACTAAGTTTCACCTATTCTTTCAACAATGCCAATATATTTTTAGGAGAAAGACATATTTGTACTTAAAAATGTGTTCTTCTCAAGGCCTCGCAGCAAAGGAGGGAGAGGAAAGTTTGCTAAGGAAAGGAACGAATTGGAATCAGGGTAAAACTAAGAAATGGAGCAAAAGCAGTCCAAGGCCAGGGCGAACAGGAGCTCATGGGATTTAAAAAAATAAAAAAGCAACTGTATTAAAATCAGGCAGCGTTGGAGGCGTGCTAGTGTCTCTCGAAATCCATGCCCCGCACTCCCCCACTCCCAGCATTTGCTCCTAAACACGACTTCAGGATTTTCTTGGAGGAGACATAGGTGTAAGAAAAGTTGTAAGGCAGGCAGTGATAGTGGAAGAGGTAACATGCGATTCTTAGCTGTGTCCCAGTGCCACCGTTGATTGGTGTTCATATAACTGAACCTGAAAATAATGCATACCAAATTCTCAAGACAGGACAAATTAAGTGCACTTCCTTTTACTAAATAAAAGTTTATATTTTAGGACCACTTGGGACTTTCCTGGAAGGAAACCTGTGAATTCACCAGACGCAGCCCTTCCTGACCAGATGCTGACTTGCACCGTCTATTTCTGTACCGATTCACGGACACAGTGCTTGAACTCATCACAGCACCGAGTGTAGAGCAATCCAAGAAGGGATGAAGGACCGAGTGAGTGAAGTCACAGCATTTCCAGCATGCAGCTCGTTCCTTTCCCCCTACCTCTGTAGCGTGCGCCTGGGCTACTGCCTCTGCCTGGCCTACAGAGGCAAAACACCTTCCAGATGCAGGGTGAAGGTCACCTCGCCAGCGACACAGGCCTTCCCCACAGTCCTCTGCGCCCTCGCTGTGCTGCTTGATACAACCCCTTACTCAGGCCCCTCCACTGAACAGCACTGCCCTGGACAATTTAATGAAGTACTCCTGGGTTCCTTCTCAGCCCCTGTCCAATGCTGCTTAATAAATAAACCATAAATAAAAGAACATGTAGACGTTCTTGGCTTGTTGCAAAGGGAAGGAATGAAAGCGAGGGGGATTCGTGACATACTCCCCAACTTTGGAGATAGGAATCTGTTCTTAATTTATACATAGAAACTGATTTAATATCATGTTTTCAGACTTAATTTCAAACAAAATAATTAAGTTGTAAAATGATTTGACTTGGGGCGGTTTGGGATGTTGTCAAGACCTGGCTTTCTGCCTCTAGCCCATACCGAGCTCTTCCTGGTCTGTGATCCTCCTTCCCCCAATTCGAAAGCTTTCCTGAGATGATTTAAATCGGGAACATGTGTTGAACTTGGGAGTAGGGACGGCATGTATGGAGGCTCTTCCTACACAAGCACACAACCTGCCAACAGAGGAAGTGATTAAGGACACAGGATACACAAAAATGAGCATCAGCTCTCCCGTGCAGGATTCCACAGTCGGGATAGCTGGGCTTGAATGCTGCCCTCCTCATAGTCTGTGTGACAAGGCTCAGCTGCTCTAGGCTGCATTTTCCTCATCTGAGAAATGGAGATAATACCTGCTAGGGTTGAGCTGCGAGATGATTAAGGAGATTATGCATGCAAATGATTTCACATAATGCCTGGCACTCGAGCACTGTTCAAATGTATTATGATGTGATTGTCAGTTACGACATCTTTAGTTCAGTTTCAAAAGAGTTTTACACTTGTTCAGCAAACAGACAGTCACCCTGCAGCAGGTATGACTTCTACCGCACGTACTTGGTTCCCTGGCATGAAACCATGCGCTGAGGTCATGGAGAACGGTATCTGGTCTTCAGTCTCTCTCCAAAGGACAGACCAACACTTGCATTTACTGCTGAGAACCTCAAACTGGTCACAGCGCCCAGCATAACTGCAAAAGGACCCAGGGACAAAGAGGAACACTGGGGCCCTTTGCTAAGCCTCACTGTCTCTGCCTCCGTTCTCTCTCCAGCACTAGGGAAACAGGAACGACCAAGACACAGGGAGGGCCTCTTTGCACGTAGCAGCATGCACAGCTATTAGGTGGTTTTAGTAAATCCGGCACCTACTAGAGTGATGCTGCCTCAGGGAGCATTTCATTGAAGTCACAAAGGACTCTTTGAGAAGATCCAGATTTTAAGTTGACTTTTTGGAGTTATGCAACATTTGATGTTAAAAACATACCCCTAGGTTTAGGACTTGATGCCACATGGTTCTTGTGTGGCAGTTTGCAGTGCTTGGGAATTGAAGTGTCTGTAGTGTGCTTGTGACACTTCCATGGGAAAGTACAAGAGAGCTCAGAATCCGGGGCAAACGCTCTGTAATGGATGAGGCCATCTACTTCTCAGTGACTCCTCTATTTTGAAAGGCGAAGCTCCTGGCTGAGCAATTCTGACCCCACTGGAGACAGGAAGGTCTGCCTTTCTCGTGGCTCTGTCCCAGGCATCCCTCGGGTTCTCTCGGTCTCAGTGCACTCCGTAAGCGCAGAGGCAAGGTGACAAGCTCCGCGGACCTGAGCCAGAATTCTTAGCCTTCTACGCTGCCTCTCAGGCCAAAGGGAAAGGCGGTCACCTTCCAAGGCCCAGCTAGCCAAGAATTAAGTCCCTTCCTTTCCTCTTCCTCTGCCCTTGCCAGGCGGCCTATGGAAAGCCTGCTCAGGCTCTGTGGGCCAGCTGGGCAAAGCCTGGCCATTCCAGAGCCAAGTGCTTGCCAGCAAGTTGTTTCCCTCCACGTCTGAGCCAGCTTCAGGAGACCATACAGACACTGGCGCAAAATGGCCACTGCAAGGTATTTTAAAACACCAACAGGGACAGAAAATTTTTGGGTCACAGAAGAGAAAATACAATGTTGAGTTTCTAACAGCATTGTTATGGTGCTTCATGGATTGCTGATAATCAGAGCAAGCCTTTTTCTTCCAGGGGTCCCCAGGCAGTCTGGGCAATGTGTTTCTGAAATCTATTCCTAGCCCTATGTCATTAGTTTTATTTATAAGAAGCTTTCTTTTCGCGAATTAGCCTCAGTTCTCTAATGCATGAAAAATTCAAGCTGGTGCTTTAGGAAGAGGCCTGACCAGCGGTACCAAATCTCTATTTTACATATAGGTGTCCTGGGGTCTGACGAGACCACAGCTGGAGGGGCTCCGTCTTCCAGACGGCTTAATGGGCACTAGGGGACCACAGGAAGATTACTGGATTCAACCATGATGCGGCTCTTTTCCAAGGTTGGTGTCTCTTGGCCCGAGGACCTACCTCCCTGGCCGGGCCACAGACTCTCAACCCTGCAGACTGTGACTTGGCTTGGTATTATCAAAGGTCCACTGGGCTCCATAAATCCGATCAGCCAGCACTATTTTGGGACTGGAACCAAAGATACTCCACAGCAGCCAAAGTGAAAGGCCCAGTTAGCAGCAGTACTAAGAGCCATGGGGCCAAGTGAGGCCACCCTTTCTTGTCATGGAAGGATGCCTTTCTTTCTGCACCTATGTTGCTAGCAGGATCAGCAAAGCATTTTCTGTTTTTGTTTTGTGCCTTGGGCTGGCCCTAAAAGACATAAAGTCTGAATCTGTCTCTTCCTCCCCCCCACCCCCACTACTGGGATCAAACTCAGGACCTTACGCTTGCCAGGCAGATGCTTATGCTGCTGAGCTATCTCCCCAGCCTGCCATGATTCTTACAGGAATAAGGCACCATGTAATTTCATTCAGCTATGTTTTCAGATGTTACTGGAGCTAGACAAGGCAAAAATGTACTAATTTTTTCTCCAGAAAAACAGATCTTGACTTACTCGATGTCTACGTAATATAAGCAACCAGCCAAACAGTCCTTGGCAGAGCAAAACCATGGTCAAGCTAGAAAACTCATTCCACTCTCCTCTTAGACTGCAGAGTTCAGTTTCCACCATCGTGTCAGCACCTCCCACGTGAGCGATTCTGAGGTTCCTTCTTCACCTCTCTGCCCCTTACCTGTGTGTACCTCATTCAATGCCCAGGTCATCTCTTGGCATTCAGTTAGAGACTCTGAAGCTAACAACAGGCCAGGACATATAGATCACAGCGTCATTGTCCCGGGGATCTGACTCCCGAGCTCCTTGCCTCCAGAGCCCCATCCCCGTCACTGTAGGGAGGCATTCTCTTTGCACCAACCCAGCCCTGGGGCCACTCTGGGTGCTGAAGCAACCTAGTGTGCGTAGGAGCCAGGTAGGATGCCACCATTCTAACTCTTTCTTCATGGTTTACTTTGCCTTTTACATATTTGTCTGCCATAAGAAATTTTCCTTGAAGATAAGTTGGAGCGCAGTACACTGTACCACTGGCCTTTTGTTTCAGACTCCCTACTTAGGGGGACAAAAGAGTTGAGAGAGCAATACGTAACTCATCCGAGGCATCTTCTAAAGATAAAATTATTTAAGATCTTGTATTAGCTGCCTCGTCTTGATTAACCTGCTCAGCAATAAGAGATGATATCCCGTACCCTCCTGTATTCTCAGTTTTTCCTCTAAGGCCAAAATATCAACTACAATGACATTTTTCTGGGAAAAGCACTAGTACATTTTTGCCTAAGAAACATGAGAATGGCTGAGTATCAGATTCTTGCAATGTTTTTTTTTTTTTTTTTTTTGTTGGGGGTGAAAATATCTAATGGCTCTGACTCCTGCAATTTGCGGAAGGTGTTCAAAGGGATAATTAGGACAAGAAAAGTTTTTTTCTAGTGCTAAAGTGACAATAGCTTCTAGGTGACCTCGGGCAAGCCCTGTGGGCTCCCAGGTGATACATTTTTTTAAAGCCTCTGCACAACAGTGGACTGCAAAATGGACAGGGTGTTAGACCCCACATGGACGTCTGTTCCAGGGGTGCTCTGGTCCCTTTGAGGGTGAATGTGGCAAGGCCACAGAACATGGTGGCAAAGCTCAGTGGCCTGAGGTCTTTGCTCTCCCCAGCAGTCGCTGTCTCTGCTGGCTGCAGGAGGATCTCACTGTGCTTTGCTTTCCAAGGACAAGACGTCGGCCATGCTTCCCTCATCTTTCCTTCCATCCCGGTCTCCGTTCTCCTCTTCCTCGGGCTTCCTGCTCCAGGTTCCTTCTCTCTGTGTCTACGCTCTCTCCTCCTCTCGTGTTGCCAGTGCCCCCTTGAGGTTGCCGTGTTTCAGGACTTGCCTCCTTCATCTCCTGCATGGTGGTTGGCACTGCAAGTTAGTCATGGGGCTTTCTTGCAACCATACCCGGGAAGACCCCTCCCATGGCCAAGAAACTCAGCTGGGTGGTCTGGCTCCTCCCACCAACCCAGACCCTCCTCTGGCTCCGGCCGGGCTGCTCTCTGCTGACACCTGCTGGGCAGCTCGCCTCTTCCTGAGGGAACCTTGGAGTTGGCACAGACCTTCCCAGAAAAGGACAGAAATGAGGAAGGGTCCAGGCTCCACGGTAGCTGTCTTTACAGCAGACTGCTGAGGCTGGGAAGGCTGAGAATGCCAAGAGAATCGATAAGTGTGCTGTGAGCTTAAGCAAGTGCCTGGGCAGAACCTGATTTCTACAAGTAAGAAGAAAAAAAATGCCTCAATACAAGATGACTCCTGAATCGGAAAATCCACCCTGCCAAATGCAACAGATTAAATACTAGACTCTTGGAACCATGGAGATGCATTCACAGGAACCAAGAAACTCCAGGAGCATGAGGTGGGCAGGCCCTCAAGCCACTGCCTGTGACAAGGTATCAGTGTCCCGTGGGGCTGTGCGGGTGTCCACTGCAACAGCGGCCGTCCCCCGTCCTGCCACTGAGCAGCAGAGCCACTGCCATTCTGAGCCTGCTTCCTCCAACAGTCCTCATGCAACAGCCACTCATCTCAGGCAACTGACAGTCCTTCTCGGGTACCGGACTTCTTCCCCTGTCCTTGGTCACCACCAGCGATTCTGCTCTACGGACAGCACAGCATTTGCCCCTATTGTGTGAAGTGTGTGCCAGGCAGAAC